TGCGTTGTGCCAATCCAGGCCCGTGTTCAAGTCAGCCACAAGGGCATAAAACGGCTTTCAAGTTCCAACGAATTAGGTGCACAAAATGTTTAACCTCACCAGACAACCATCAAAAGAAAAAAGACCACACCTGAAAGTCGTGTGCCTGCCTGTTGTTCATATCATGTCCTGGTTAGTCTGTCACTGTGAAAGCAAGAGCTGCAGTAAAAACACGGTTTCTGGTAGTTTCGAACGGCTTCACTGTGATAGACAAGCATTTCGGCGAGGAACCCTGGGACAACTGGACCAGCGGGACATCGTAAAATGGTGCATAACCGCAAGGCCAGCTGTTGCACTTTACTTAAACGAATTGCTAAATTAAAATGTGTGAATTTCGGAATTCAAGTCAGTCGACATTGACCCCAACTGGGGTTGCCTCAATTGGCCCTATGGCACCATGTCAGAGTCACCATAGGAATCACACTAGACAAGAATGGATCATTATATGATCCGGCAGGAAGTGAATCCTGAAACATGCAAAAAGACAGGAAACAAATTTATTAGATTGTTTGTTTATTGGGGTTCTTGGCTTAGCCCCTTGCCACGTCCATATAAATCACAGGAGTCATTGACATATAAACCAACAGCGTAAAAATATATATACGAGTGCAGGTACGTCAGTGCTGGCCGGGCACTGATATCACGTCCACTTGGTGCGGTCTTTGTTAGATGAGGCACACCAAGGGAACCCTCATCCCCCTGCACTAGATTTAAAACCCTTTCACTAGATTTAAAAAGGGAGAGGACAGAAGGAAGAAAAAGAAAGAAGTTTTACATCTATTTAGATGTTACACACACATACAAACACACACACCCGGCCGGAGCCGGGTCAACCCTGAAAGGCAAGAGGAAGAGAAAAGCGGACACAGACGACGGGCAACAGGCCGAAACAGCGCAGGGGGGGAAGGGAACGAACGGACCTCCAGAACCAACCTACGCGGAGAAACGGACCTGACAAAAACAGAGCACACACCTAAACCCCACGACACATTACGGAGAGGCACGCAGGGAGAATTAGGGACCAAATGGGGGACTAGTTGGTGACAAGCGAGAAAAACCAAAATTAAAGGACCGGATAACCCCACAAGTCAACTTCTTACTATAATGAGAATGAGCATCAAAGGTTGTAGCAGGGACGGGGAAGGAAAGGAAAAGGAGGCGGTGAAGGATCGAGAAGTTAAAACAGTTGTGTGTGACAAAGTGGAATGTGGAAGATGGTGTCTGACAAAGCAAGAAGGTATGTGAAAAGATAACGTTTATTTTTGTATGTATGTATGTATGTATGTATGTATGTATGTATATATGTATGTGTGTGTGTATGTATGTATGTATGTATGTATGTATGTATGTATGTATGTATGTATGTATGTATGTATGTATGTATGTATGTATGTATGTATGTAATGTATGTAATGTATGTAATGTATGTAATGTATGTAATGTATGTAATGTATGTATGTATGTATGCATGTATGTATGTATGTATGTGTGTATGTATGTATGTATGTATGTGTGTGTGTATGTATGTATGTATGTATGTTTGTTTGTTTGTTTGTTTGTTTGTATTTCTGTCTGTCTGTCTGTATGTATGTATGTATGTATGTATGTATGTATGTATGTATGTATGTATGTATGTATACATATGTATGTATGTATGTATGTATGTATGTATGTATGTATACATATGTATGTATGTATATACATAATATATATGTGTGTATATACATATATACATGTATACATGTATGTATGTATGTATGTATGTATGTGTGTGTATGTGTGTGTGACAAAGTTGTGTGGGAAAGATTGTGTGTGAAAGTGATGTGAGTGCGACATCAGTGCAGACATTTTTTCCGCTAGCGCTCCAATGTCATCTGCCCGGCAAACGAAACATGAATTTGATCTGCAAAAGGTTTTCTGCTCCAGTCGCTGGAGCTTGAGCTAAACATGCCAGAAAAGCAAACATACCAAAACAAGCCGATGAAAGAAACGTCCCGGAACATAAAACATGCCAGAGACGTAGCTACGTAAACATGCCGGCACACAAGCATTAATTTGATGTCCAAAAAGTTTTCTGCTCCAGTCGCTTTCACTTGAACTAAACAGTCTCAGAAAAGCAAACATGCCAAAACAGGCCGGAGACACAGCTAGGTAAACATGCCGGCAAACGAAACATGAATTTGATCTGCAAAAGGTTTTCTGCTCCAGTCGCTGGAGCTTGAGCTAAACAGGCCAGAAAAGCAAACATGCCAAAACAGGCCGGAGACACAGCTAGGTAAACATACCGGCACACGAAACATGAATTTGATGTCCAAAGAGTTTTCTGCTCCAGTCGCTTTTACTTGAACTAAACAGGCCAGAAAAGCAAACATGCCAAAACAGGCCGGAGACACAGCTAGGTAAACATACCGGCAAACAAAACATGAATTTGATGTCCAAAAGGTTTACTGCTCCAGTCACTTCTGCTTGAACTAAACAGGCCAGAAAAGCAAACATGCCAAAACATGCCGGAGATGCAGCTAGGTAAACATGGGTTTTCTGCTCCATTCGCTTTTGCTTGAGCCAAAGCGATATGTGAAAGATAGTATGTGAAAGACGGCGTGCGACAAAGTTGTGTGTGAAAGATGGTATGTGACGAAGTGTGTGTGAAGAGGATGGTGTGAAGTGGGAGGCGGGAGGATGGTGTGTGACAGAGATGTGCGTGAGAGAATTGTTAACAAAGATTGTATGAAAGATGGTGTGTGACAACACATTGAGACAGATGGTGTGTGACAAAGATGGTATGTGACAGATTGGTGTGTGACAAAGATGTGTGTGAGATGGTCTGTGAAACCAAGGTGGATGTCACATAGGCGTCACGCAGCCCAAGCGCGCCACCCAGTGCCATAAGTGCCACGCCTGCCACGCAAAACGAAGGTGGATGTGAGATTGTGCCACGCCTGCCACGTGAAACGCACATCGATGTCACCAAGTGCCGCGCCAGCCACGCAAAAGTGCCGCGGCGTCCCGGGCGACTAAAAGCAGCGCAAGCGCGCCACCCAGTGCCACAAGTGCCACGCCTGCCACGCAAAACGAAGGTGGATGTGAGATTGTGCCACACCTGCCACGCAAAAGTGCCGCGGCGTCCCGGGCGACTAAAACCAGCCCAAGCGCGCCACCCAGTGCCATAAGTGCCACGCCTGCCACGCAAAACGAAGGTGGATGTGAGATTGTGCCACGCCTGCCACGTGAAACGCACGTCGATGTCACCAAGTGCCACGCCAGCCACGCAAAAGTGCCGCGGCGTCCCGGGCGACTAAAACCAGCCCAAGCGCGCCACCCAGTGCCACAAGTGCCACGCCTGCCACGCAAAACTGCCACGTGAAACGAAGGTGGATGTCACCAAGTGCCACGCCTGCCACGGAAAGATGGTATGTGAAAGATTGTATGTGACAAAGGTGTGTGTGCGTGTGTGTGTTAAATTTGTGTGTGTGAAGTTATTGTATGTGAAAGATGGTATGTGACAAAGGTGTGTGTGAAGTTATGTATGTGACAGATGGTATGTGACAAAGTTGTGTGTTAAACTTGTGTGTGTGAAGTTATTGTATGTGAAAGATGGTATGTGACAAAATTGTGTGTGTGTGAAGTTATGTATGTGACAGATGGTGTGCGACAAAGTTGTGTGTTAAGTTTGTGTGTGTGAAGTTATTGTATGTGCAGGGTTGTATGTGACAAAGTTGTGTGTTAAGTTTGTGTGTGTGTGAAGTTATTGTATGTGAGAGATGGTGTGTGACAGGCGGAAGGAGGCTGGAGGAGGGAGGCGGGAGGCGGGAGCGACCGGGATACAGAATCAAAAACAAGAACCCTACACAAAGTTGTGGGGAACAATTATCTTATATAAAAACGGACTCAGTTCCTCCTATCCTAGAGGTCGTGCGTTATTCCCCTTCGGGACCGTGGTCAAGTCGGGCCGCAATGGCATAAACAGCTGTTCAAGTTCCAGCGAATTAGATGCACAATATCGACCTCACCAGAAAACCATCAAAAGAGAAAGACCACACCTGGAAAGCATGAGCCTGCCTGCAACGTCTTTCATGGTCATGTGTTGCTTCAAAAGTTTGAGCTGCAGCGGGAAAAAGGGGGTTTCTGGTTGTTAGGATCGGCTTCACGCTAATAGAGATGCACTTCTCAAGGTTTCACGAGGGACCGCAGGAACAGCAGGACTTCTCGTAAAAAAGGTGCAAAACCGAAAGGCCAACTACTTAAACGAATTACCAAGTTAAAGGTGTCAATTCCCATGTCAAGTTTGTCCACAGTCACCCGCAAAGGGGTTGCCTCAAGTGGCTCCATGGCACCATGTCGGAGTCACCATGGATATTACACTTGACAAAATTGGATCTTTGAAGAGATCCATCAGGAACTGAGTCCTGTAACGTGCAACCGGCCTAGACAATTAGACCTAAAGTAGATCCCGTGGTTGTACTTCATGAATATACTGATGGTCTTCCGAAAATGTCCAATGTAGTCCAAACCAGACTCCAAAATCAGCAAAAAAAATAGTCATCCTAAACCAGATTGCGGCGACCGTGTAAAACCATGTAAAAAAAAATTGTTTGGAAACGGCATGGTGGTTCTCGGGTTAGCCACGTCCCATTGCAGAAAATTGACATGAAAACGAAAACCAACGCAGGTACGTCACGGTGATCAGCTGTGAGATCCGCATGTACTGTGGCCGCTTCGTTGGACCATCGCTCACAGCACATGGATGGTCCCCCTGCTTTATTAGAAAGGGAGAAGAAAGAAGAAAGAGAAAGGACAGGTTTTACATCTAATTAAGATGTTACACACACAGACATACAGCACACACACAATTATATATATATATATATATATTTTTTATAGTCTATATAATCTGAATCATGACCAAGTATAATTATAAACATATATATATCCTGTGAATAAACAAGAACTCTGCAATATCGATATACAGTTTAGCCTCGCCATGGGAACTCCTCACAGCCGCTCCTGGCCGCCGCCAGCCTGGCCGCCGCCGCCCGGGCCAGGGCCGCATGGGCGGCCCGGGCATGGCTGGGAACTGGGACAGATGGCCACTTGGAGTAAATGGGATTTTGGCGATATATTATATAACTTCGGTTATAGGAGTGATTTCATCCCATTTATAGCTGTTAAGGGCCATAAATGTACTGTACCTTTTTGCTTCTGAGGGGAAGTTACCCTCGGGAATCAAAGATGGCTGGGAGATCCCACATAAATGGAAAGTTCCATTGCCATGTTTGCTTACCGTAGGGTATAGGGATTTATGGGTTTGATCTGGCACCAAACATGGACAATGATAATTTCGTATTGTTTTGTTTTTTTGCGCGTTTGTGTTGGTGTTTTATTGTTTTGTTTGTGGCTTGGTAGCGCCAAACTTTGAACAGAACGTTAAACAGGATGTCAAGTCAAAAACTATACAGTACTTGGTATAACCATCAAACACGGCAGGTTGGAGAAGACATGCCGCTTTGTTCAAGGTCTTAGTGCTACACTCTGCAAATCAAACATTGCAATTGAAAATCCCAAGTTTTTGATGGGGTTCCCTTTGAATCTTTTGATTTATGATTTGAATGCCCATCTTTGGTTCCGGAATTTCCCAGCCAGCCATGTTTGATGCCTCTTGAATGTTTGGTAGTTCCTTCGCCTGGAGTTTCCCTCTAAGGCGGTAGCGAAGTGCCGCAGCTTCCCTGCTGCAGAATGGAACCAGACAGGCCTGATGATACCCACTGCCGGAATTGATGCTGGTGCCTACATGAGGAGTTTGCATGGAGTGTTGCTTGGTTTCAATGTAAGTCTCCTCCCTTGGAATACCATTGATCCGCCCATGAATTTATTTTGATTTTGAATGATTTCGCATGATTTTGCGAGGGAACTAGAGCTCTTTTGGGAGTTGCAAGCTGGACACACGACCACCACCTCAATGTGAATTGGCTCATGCTGGCTGGCAGAAACGATTATGATAAGAAAACAAAATGTGTCGCCATCCTAAAACATGTGAGCGCATTGTGAGGGAAACCTTGACAAGACTTGAGGCGTCCCTTTCCGATACTTCCGGTGTTTTCTTGTTTGTGGGGTTCCCTCGGTGCCCTTGTGCTAGCTCCCCTGATGTGACTCCAGCAGTTTGAGGTCAGATGGTGACTTCCTACGCCATTGGAGTTTGCAGAGACCGCCCTTACCAGAGACATGCCAGCGGAATTAAGAAAGGTTGACAACTTTCAGCAACTTCAAAGGGTCACTTTGAATGGTCAATACTTTGGAAGAATGTGGGGCCATCATCCTCAAAAATATGCTTGTCAATATGGGGAGCATCATCCGAAATAAGATGGAAAACACCAAAAAATTGCAAACCACAGAGCAGTATTTTATGGCCACTAATCAGATTTGGGATCGGATTAATTCTAAATCGCAAGTTTCATCCAGATACTGATGAGTTATCCATTCATTTCCGTTGGTTCCACCAGCGGCATGTAGGAAGTGGGCCAAGGGGTTTGTCATTCAAGTGTTCTATTTTGCTTCAAACCACAAGCTACTAGGCCTAAGCACACATTGTGGTGTGTATTACAAAGGGATAATTTTGCGCATATAGATATAATAGAACATATAACTATATGGCTTTCAAATTTAAATGTGTTTTTTTTTGTGCCTGTGTGTGTGTGCAAATGTAAGCTTGCAACCTATATATAACCCAGTTTCAAGCTGGGGCACATAGAGTCTCAGCATTGTTGCTTCCAAACCACCTTATGGTTCCTTGGGTGGTGGAGGGGCATTTAAGTGGAACCATGTTGGTATGGGATCCCCTGTCCCGAATGGCATGCCATGTGGTCAGATCACAAGGCAAGGGTTTGGATTCCAGAAATTGCCAGATGATCTTCCACTGGGTTAGTCTCAATACCTTCGAACTGATATTATTGTGTATAAGAAGCCCCTGGCCATTGCACCCTGCAACCAAGATTCGCAAGGCTAAATTATACATGGTGTTTCATCACATGCAGGCTTCAAAACTAATTTGGGATGATTTTGGGGACCACCATTTTGGGAAACTTCCATATCTGGAACTATTACGCACCATTTTCAAACACACCGTTGTTTGATGTTGTCCACCTCCCGGTCAATCAACCAGGGCCGTGACCTTCCACAGCTAAGGAGTACCGTCGAGCCAGCGAAGAGATTTGTGTGTCACACAGTCTTTGGGCCACAGCGATTATGGTTCAGCTTTCGAAAAGGGTTGAGGCATGATTCAAACATGTCATGTTCCTGGCATATGGATACATATGGCATGAATAGGATGGCTAAGCGGATCAACATAGGAAGCAACATATTCATCAAAATATTATAAACACATCAGGAGAGAAGTCCCAAATTCAGATGTGGGTCCTCTTCAAAGGATTGGAAACTTGAACAAGACACGGAGAGAGATGCATACGAAGATGAAATTTGGGTCAATTGTGACAATGTCACACCGACTTCACTGATTTAGAGGAATCATCCTCAAATCACCCATTTGTCAGGTTTGTGAACCTTTATATATACTGTAAGCTTACATAGATAATATTCAGCCAGTTGAAATGGCAATTCAGAGATAAACGTCAAATTTATGTAAGTCACGTTGAATAGTCAATAGCTTAAACCTCAGCTTTACACTTTGCCCAGCAGTTTCCCGCATGGCTCGGGCCAAGGTTTGATGAATCGCACCTTGCTTCTGGATTCCGTTCGCAAGATCATGACCGTTTGCTCTGAGGACGGCAGAACGGGCCCCCCAGTTGGCACACTTAGTTATATCTCTATGGTCAGTTAGGGCTATCTATCAACCAACCAACTTATAAGTTGGGGCGGAACTGTCAAAATGTCAATTGCATGGGACAGTTTGTTTGTCGGATTTGTGTTGTTCGCACTTTGGCTTTGAATCTGGAACTAGAACTTTGCCATGGAGCCTAAGGTCTTGCTCACAGGAAAACAAGCGTTGTGTCTTTATGTCAACTATTTGGATAAATCAAAACTACCTGATTCCGGTGAGTCGCTGGAATGATTGTTCGTAGGGCAAATACTGCAAAGTCGCCTCCTTCAGGCTGGTGAATTATCAAAACAAGCTGCATACTGCGCATGATATTGCAATATCTCTGGACTTGAGGAAAATCATGTCGATCTTACCTTCCTGAATGCCAACATATATAGATGTGGTTTTCCCCACCATTTCCTATGGAACCATGGGTTCTCCACATCTTTTTGCGTGTTTACCCTGGGCTACAATGAAAATTCCCATTTTTCCATGGCCCCAAATTTCGAGGAACTGACGGTGATTCGAAAGTGTGCCATGGCCAGCAGTGAAGGTAACAGATGGGACCCATGAAATGCCATGGATCCAGAAAAAGACAATGGACCATTGGACCATTGGATTTTGGGCTACCCAATCTTATCCCAATCTTCAAAGCCCAATCTCCGCCCAAGATCCCAAGGGGCGTCGCAGGCTGTGATTTTCTGAGGTGGAGACGACCTATTCCTCGAAGCCTCTTTGGGCCTGATAGACCATGCCTACTCTTTGAAGCTGGACTTTATGGAGATTATACCGCTGTACACCATGGCGGTTTCCAGCCATTCCCGTGGATTGTTGCGTTTTTTTTGGGGATGTTGTACAGTTATACGTATATACTAGAAGTTAAACTTTTAGCAGGGCCCAAGGGAGCTGGGAACCAACCGGATGTAATAATATTATATGTAAATATCTATATATATATATATGTATATATACATACTATTTGAATTCCAGCATGAAGCACTTCAAATGGGACAATGCACAAAAGGCTTTGCTTTCGAGCTATGAACATGTGAATAGGTTTTGCGCTTGTGGCAAACATATGCTACGTGTATACTATAAGACTTTGTACTGCTCTTGTTTTGCAATTGAACAAGACACAGACAACCGCAAAAAAAAGCACATTAAGTATCACTGGGGCCTTGCATGACAGCACATTCAGGAATGGAGACGTTGGCCGCTGCCACTTTCAGACAGATAGATTCACACAGGCACCCATCCAGCACAATATGAAGAAGGCAGGGCCGTGCAGAGGCCATCAATGCGCATATAGTCGCTGCATGTAGCATTCGCAGCGCTGTTGATTGCTGATGGCATTTTTTCTACCTGCCACATGTGTTGAAGGTCCCAAGTTTCACAAAATATCTAGGTGACTACAGTAATGGTGACTTCGACTGCATTCCCTGCATTCCATTCACTCCCAGATACTCCCAGGGAATTCGGCTGAGAGGTCTTTATGGCGATGGAGGAGTGGAAGAAGCCTCTCTTTACGTTGCTGAGCTTCCAATAGCCGCCCAAATGTTTTAAACTCTCTGGTAACTCAGCACAGCGATGCAAAAGTACCATTTTTAGGAGGTAGCGGAGGTAACTCATCTATAAATGGGCCATGGTCATCCATTTTCCATAGGTATGAGGAATTACCCGAGGGTATATTCTTGTTTTTTTGGAGCTTTGAAGCAAGGACTGGCAGTTGCTTTGGGTGGTTTGCATTGCTGAGGCTTGCGGCTGCCTAAAGTGATCGTAAAGCTATGGTTTCTGATGACTGGAAACACCACCTCGGTGTTTTCTTGAAACCGGGCACCCCCCATTTCACCATATTTCACCATTAAGTTTCCCCATTGTTTTATCCTAAGATTTGGATATCTTGACTACTTCAATCTACTTGGTGATACTTGGGGTCACTTTAGTTTAGCAAAGCACCGCAACTCTCCACCGAGATCAGTGAGGTTGAACTTAGTGAAGCCAATTAAAACCACCAAAATTCCGGGGTATATCCCAAGTTCATCCAGTTCCACCTGTTCTTTTTTGAGGGTTCATAGGTGATGGTGTCCCAGTGGCCAATGCAATGCCCATGCGCATTAGGCTTTGCCTATTGGCCCTACGTCAGCTGGTGCCACCGGAGGTGTGTGCCTTAAAGCTCAGTGCTATGGTGGAGCGGGGCCTAGCGTGTCCGCAGGTGCAGGTGCTAACGGGTGCCAGGGGTGCGGTGGGTTTTCCTGCGGTTTCCAGCGGCTAACGTGGTGGATTCTCAAGAAAGAAAGGTGGGAAAGATATTGGCATTTGGCGTTTTCTCGGATTTTTTTTGGATGCCTGTGGCTCTTAAAAGATGGAGAAAGGATGGGAGTGTGGAATATGTTTTTGTGGAGGATGATTTGTTGATCTTCCCTGGGGTTGCCAATGTTGAGGTTGCAGGTTCGCTTGAGGATCTGGAGGGTTGGGAACTCACGACCCAGAGATGTCAGTTGTTTATATAGTTCGACTTGAGTTCTACCCAACCAACCATTCGGCTACAGGATGCTCCAGGCAACATTTGAGAACCAGTGAAAAGTTGGGTTGGAATGGTTGGACATGGTTGGACCCTGCTACACCAAGTGTTATTGCGGCTGGAACCCTTCGCAGCAGGGTCCCGCCAAGACGCATGACCTTTTCAAGAAGACATGAGGTTTACAAGCCATCAGCAAGATTGATCACACCCACCTACTGATTTTGTCGGTTTAAACAAATCCGGATATCAAGGGAGCTCCAGAAGATGGGGGAAAATGATCATGATCATCTCTTCGAACTCTCACCCTCCCACAGGGAGGTTGTTCAACCCATGAACATCCGTGGTTGGTGGTTTCAACATGTTCGATCCTCATTTAGGAAAGGTTTACCATTCAACTTGTCCCAAATAATCCGCTCCTTTGGAGCTGTCCAGGTGACATCTTTCTCCTTCTTGGCGCTGCTGTGTGCAGACATGATGTTTACAGACGTTGCTGGTGCAACCTCCGCGCGACAAAGATTCGGGAGCCCACTATGTGTGCAACCGATGGTTGGTCCAGTGCGCCTGTATGTTCGCAATGTTCAATAGGTTTCAACCACTCGGTTGAGTATGTATGGTATATAGTCAGTATATATAGTATATTCAATCTTTTTCCGACCAAAATGAGGCATTACAAGATGGCAACGTGACTTAAACTTAACACAAAGTGACTTCGCCACACGGCTTCCCAAAAATGAAGGTATGGCCAACAGTGAAAGATCTAATTCATCATCATTTGGGGGAACAACGGGGTTGGAGAACTGTGTTCCACATTCCCGAATGACCCTGGAAATATGTGTTAATCCTGTTCCCTCCTAGTAAACCTTGGTTTTGTATAGTGTCTTTTTCATGTTCCTGTCTCGTACTGAGGGTATTGAATATCAGACCATGTATGCAATTTATAGCTAATACTCACTTTTATCATACATTGGTTTGGCTGGTGAAATATGATCCATTTTCATTGATTACTGCTGACCAGTTATTGACGAATGGGCAGTTATTGTATCATGTTGTCCTATTTTTCTATGCCCAAAGGAGTATTGAAAATCATGCCTTCAATCTATCCATCTCTCCTTTTATCCATTTATCCCTGTATCCATTTATCCATATATATATATATATATGCAGTGCATCTATTATTGAGGACCTTGTTTGATTGTTTGATGCACCGGACAAGGAGGTGCCTGGACCACTGGCTGGATGCATATAAGGAGCAGGCGCTGATTACTGCCACTCGGTGGCAGAAACCCATACTTTCATGAAGAATTCAATCCCAAGCCCAAACAAGGTGACCTCTAGGGGTTTACGAATGTTTTTTTTTCAACCACCAACCAGGGTAAAAACAAGGGGTGTAGGTTGGTTGCACATATTCCCCCAAGAATCAGAATTTCTTCAGGCCTATACGGAGCCAGCGAAGTTCTATTGGGCCTCCACCTCGGGTCGCTTTGGATGTCCCCCTTGGCTGGAAGAGAACGTGTCTCGGCCTCATGAAATGGGGAAGACCATAGGAAAACCATGGGAAAATGCTGAGTTAACCATGAAAAATTATGATTTGATCAATAAAAATAGGGATTTTACCAAGAGCCATGGTGAAGTATGTAGTATCACTATGGGATGCCACCGGAATATCATGAGGAGAATGTGCGTAGATTACAACAAACCTTCTATGTGGATTTAACTATTTTATGTGGATTTGCGTTCCAGATCAATCCATGTTAAAGTCTCAAGCATCAACAGAAATGATGATGCAATTGATAGATGATGGTTAGTTGATGGTGACAGGTTGTTTTATTGCCCTTATCTAGCCTTATAGCACCCATTATATATAATTAATTAATATTAATTATAATTACGTATATATATTTATATATACACATAATAGTAGGATAATTTTTCCCATCATTCTTTTTGACACTTCTCGTGCGGGTCTTGTTTGAAAATGATGGGATAGCGCAATTTCTGATTGTTTGTTTCGAGATTGCAGGTCTGCGCGCAATCCAGAAACTTCATCATCAGCGAATGATGGTTTCAGCCACAAACCAAAGGACTTTACCACAACAAACGTGGACTGTAACAAACACATTCAATTTTTGCTGCCCTCAAATTGGAATTTAGCCAACAAACATTCAGACAAGCGAGTTCGAACTGGCTGAAGAGTGTTCATGAGAATACGGGGGCCATTAAACAACTTATCCGGAATAAGCCCTGATATTGATCAAATTGTTGTTTCTTACATGTTGGCCGGGATACATGATGAACTACAAGGAAAAAGAGGAGAAACCACTTGCATAGACCGTCTAGAGCCAGAAAACCTCTCCAGCATCTCTAACAATGCACAGGATGCATTCCCAAGAAACAGACTGATCATATACAGAACTAGTGAGTGCTGAGGTTACCTTGGGGGATACTATGCTGTTCAAGAACATATTCCCAACCTTTGCCTAAGTTTTTTTCTCAACCTCGTTCAGATTAGGTGGAGGCTCATGCGCTGAATTGGTATGTGGCTATGTTGGGGAGCTGCTTGACCGAAGCACTGAATCACCCTGGGTGTTTTCCACTGGATCTCTGTAAAACTGGATGGCATTGTCAAGGATTATTAAGAACCTATGGGTTGTTCATGTTTTACCATGGACATTGATCATGTGAAGCATTTCAAACCAACATAAACCAATCCCAACAACGATCAATTGGTGGCCTGCGAGATGCCACCACTTCCTCAAGCTGCCGGTTCCTTTCCAGTTCAAATGTCAAACATCTATGACTGGTAGATTGGACTCCAGGCTAGTGCTGGAAAAAACATATCCGCAGTAGCAACATGGTGCCTGAAACATTGCCAGTTCCTACATTGCACATGATCTGAGACAAGCCGTTGTTTTTATTTATTCGCCAAGTGCGCCGATTTTACCCGGTTTTTTCGAACAGGTACGCTGGGCATCCAGCTTCCCCATCTTCCAGTCTTTTGGGCCCCTTGGTGGACGATTCGGTCAGGTCGTGACTGATGTTCCAGGTGACCCTTGGGTGTTTACTCGAAGCAGTGGCCCTTACAGTTGCCGGGGTAAATGCGAATTGGATCGTTTCAAGGCTCATGCCAGAAATAGATAGTAATATGGTACACCCAATAATGAACCTACCATGGGGATGGTGAATAGCACCCATTTACGCTGATTTTGTGGATGGTTTCATTATCGGGTTTAAACTTCTTACCCACCTTTCGAAACCATACAGAGTCGAGCCGGGCTCACGCTGAAGCCAAGGATACCTTTGCCCCGCCAGTGGTGGACTTTTGGGAAGGTTTAAGCGAGGACAGGCTTCGGGACGGAACAGGGCCATTTGCTCTCATATACAGTAGCCATGTTGGTGTATGGGCATCAAACATTGCTAGGGATTTGTTGATTTTATATACCCATCATGTTCAGACTCCCATTGTGGGATGAATGACCTTAAACCATGTACCATGTTTTTGACCCTGGCACGCATACAGTATGTGGGTACATGGTTTTTCCATTTTTTCCACTGTACACACGCAGACCCGAAATAGAATTATATAGAGGGCTTTTACTTGTTTGTTAGTTTTTAGCTTGTATCATTCTCTGTTCTGACTGATTTATTGCTTTATTACTCTTTATTGCGCGATCGTTTGATAATGATTTCCAATTCTTCAGCAACATGGACCTTGATTCTGCAACTCCCGATTTGGCATTGGAAATCTCGCTTGAAAATTAATCCTTCCTTAGTTCAACTATTGAAACATTTTTTGGATGGTGGCACCCTGTGACGCCTTGGCCACAATTGGCTTGCAGGAGGTCTGGGAGATTTTCTGCCTCCCAGCCAACTTTGGGCGTCGCTGGAAGAATATCTCAGCCCTAGCTGCGCGGCGACAGGGACAGGTCCCTCTAGTGACGAATGGCCGACTGCTGGGTGGACACTTCCCTTGGAAGACGGCAGGTGGCGGCTAGGGCTGGGATTTTCCATGGTTTGTGTGGATTCATAAGTTTATGTAGCTTGAAGTGGCAATGAATCCTTTACCTGGCAACAGATGTAGTTGTTCTAGTGTTTCTTGCATGTTTCATGTCACTGGTTCAGAAGTTCTTGGTTTGACACATTATATATTTAGTTATATATAGATATATAGTTATATATATATAGTTATATATATATATAGTTATATATATATAGTTATATATATATATATATATATTTATTTATAATTATATATATACATACATTGACACACACACACATATATATATATTGCACTGCCCTTGGCCACCTTGATAACGGGTGGCATTTTCAGCCACGGCCCTTTGCCGGATTGGCTTTAGCAGTGTTTTCCATACATAGCCCATACTTATGTTAGATTACAAGAGGTTGTGTTTGTATATCCAAATGTTATTATATATATACACATATTTTTTCTATACCATGTTCATGGCTGCCTTGTTCTCATTCACTGCTATGTTTCAGGATGATTGCGCAGCGTGTTTTATCCTTGCTTGTTGCTACAGTACTTATGTCCCCATGATATGCTCCATTGCTGCTAGTCCTATCCCACTTTTGTGCGTGATTCGTCTAGATGATTCATAGCAGCGTAGTGATGGTTCCGAGTTTTGAACCTCTATCATGGCCTAAAATCGTGTTTTTGTTTCGTTGTCAAAAACTATCACGGCAAGAGACCCCAAACAGTGTGGGGGAGTGGGAGGATAATGTATGATGAGGTGGATGACGATGATGATGATGATGATGATGATAATGATGATGATGATGGTGGTGGTGGTGATGGTGATGATGATGGTGGTGGTGGTGATGGTGATGATGACTTTGGTGATGATGATGATGATGATGGTGATGGTGATGATGATGATGAAGATGATGATGAAAATGTTGCGGACGATGATGTTGGATAATAATGTTGAGGAAGAGGAGGTGGAGGAGGATGATGTTGCAGAAGATGAGGTGGAGGATGATGATGTTGAGGAGGATGAGGATGAGGATGAAAATGCGGAAGAGGAAGTTGAGGATGATAAGGTGGAGGATGATGATGTTGAGGAGGATGAGGATGAGGATGAAAATGCGGAAGAGGAAGTTGAGGATGATAAGGTGGAGGATGATGATGTTGAGGAGGAAGATGATGATGATGTGGAGGATGATAATGTGGAGGAAGATGATGAAAATAATGATAATGTTGCGGAAGATGAGGTGAAGGATGATGATGTTGCAGAAGATGAGGTGGATGATGATGATGTTGAGGATGATTATGTCAAGGGGAGGAAGATGATGATGTTGAGAATGGTAATGTTGAGGAAGGGGAAGACGATGATGTTGAGGATGATGATGTTGGGGGTGATGAGGTGCAGGGTGATGATGATGATGAGGTGGATGATGATGATGATGATGATGATGATGATGATGATGATGATGTTGAGGATGATGATGTCAAGGGGCAGGAAGAGGATGATGTTGAGGAGGGGGAGGAGGAGGAAGATTATGATACTGAGGATGCTCATGTGGAGGAGGAGGACCGATCCCAAGGCCGCGCCGCACGTTTTGTGCGAGCCTGCGCAGTCGAAATGCACTTGACATGTCACAAGAACCATTTTATGCGCAAATTTAGAGGCAAAAGGCCGCAGAGCGAGACCGAGACCCACACTATGATCAGTATGTGCGAGCCTGCGCATTCGAAATGCGCTTGGAGATTTCACAAGAGCCACTTTATACAGAAACTTACAGGAAAAATGCTGGAGCCCAGAGTGAGGCCAGAACGTAGACACACACTTTGTGCGAGCCTGCGCAGTCGAAATGCACTTCAACATTTCACAAGAGCCACTTTAGACGGAAATTTTCAGGAAAACTGCCGCGGCCCAGGTGGAGCACCCTGATCAAGCACCGGCCCTTGCTACTACCGTAAGAACCCCTCAGCCTCAGTGTGGACACACTGTTTGGGGAAATACTTGCATACCCAGTTTCACAGCCCACAGTCAGCTTCGAAGCAGAAACATGTTGCTTTTTCCTTAACATGAACTCCGATTCCGAACATTTGATACGCAAATCCTTGCTGCTGATCGTTTCTCCACCATCCAGAGTTCCTTTTCGCACAGGTCATCATACCGTCTACGCTTTGGGCGCCGCCATGGAAGCTGAGTTGTCCAGGGGGGCCGGGCACTTCGCCAATGAGGCGCATTGAATGTTGGGCAAATGTTGTGCTAACGAGGCGGATTGAATGTTGGGCAAATGTTGCGCAAGAAGGGTGAAATGTTATAGGTTAGCCTATGACAATGAGGAAGCAGTCTTGAACCATGAAAGACACACACAACATATATATATATATATATGTAATATTGTGTTTTTTTTATATATCATGCAATATCACACTCAATGCACGGGTATTGTCTTGGTAAACCAGCTGATAAATGTTAAAGTTCTAGTCAATTGTTTGTTTTTTCCCTCACCATTTTGAGGATTAGCTCGGCAGGTAGGGGATGGATGGTTTGTGGCAATTCCTGGGGCCTAACGCAGCATGCCTTGTGCACGCGCCGGCACGGACACAAACCAGAACTCGAGGGAAGTTTGCTCGTGAAAGCATCCTCATGCAGCTGGTGGGTTGGGTTTTCAGGGACAAAACTGGAACGCATCAACTGTTTTGAAACGAAGAAGGTCAATGTGATACAGGAAATTCGCTTGGCCACTCCATTGCTTCGCTGACCAAGCCACTTAGCAACGGATTTGTAGCCATGGCATGTAAATTCCCCAGTTGTGGTTCTCCAACTGGTTTCTATGGCTGCAGATTGGAAGTTTGGCACGTTGATTGAAACTTCAAAATGATTGGTGAAGCTGGATTTTCATCGCCATTCAGATAGAAAATGGTAGGTGTTGATGTTGACCCCATACCCATATGGATTGCACTCAGGCGCACACTTTTTCAATACATTAAGAAGTCGCCAGAGGCCTTGGTTTGGTTTTGAATTTGCGCATACTTGGCGCCAATAAAAACAAGAAGGTTTGCACTTATGATGCAGGGATGGGATTGCCCACTTCTATATTGTATTTGGCCTTGTTTGCCCATGTTACCTGAGGAAAAGGTCTAGCAAAACCATGAACCCTCTTACTGTGTATCAATAGGCGGATTGGGGGACAGGATCACAGGAGAATTAGACTGCAAAATTTAACACTACTGCTTAACCCTTCCATTTTCTCATCAACTGGATCCATGTTTGAAAAACCATGAAATCATTGGTGGATACCTAAAACGAACAGAAACCAACGATTTATCATTTGGAAATGTAACGTAGCCATGGAAAATTACCATTACAAAAATAGGATATTTAAGATATTTAACAGGATAATATAGGTAAAATATAGGTAAATCATCTACCATAATTAGTCACAAATATGCCATTTTCGATCGTGTGGCTCGAGTCGATGGGCCGTGGTCTCCACAGGCGGTGAACCCTTCGGATGCGGCAAAGCCCAAGAGAGAACTCCTTGCCAGGCATCCGGCCGCTCCGGCGATCCCGGAGTTGGAAGATGGTAGAAACCTACTTGAGGGTGCCAGACCCACTTAGTAACTGGGCTATACCATGTTATACCCCCCATTATACATGAAATATCCACACTTTTTATATATCGGATTATAGGGGTTATTTGTGGGTTACGAACCACTAACTAAGTGTGATGCACATCCATGTGGACCCTCCAAGTAGCCGTAAAAGTTGCTAAAAGCGTTGAACTGATGAAGTGAAATATTTGTTTGGGGGTACTTGGAGTGCTTAGGTATTTACAAGATGTGGCAGTTTTGTAGGAACACGTAATATGTGAATCCGTGTGTTTTCTGTACGCGATAGCATCGATACCAGGTTGTGAAACTCTTGTACATTTGATGACCTGTGTGTTTGCCGGGCCTTTGTGGAGCTTGAGTCTCGTGCGCTATCGCGAAAAGTCTTGCCTGTGCCAGTTTGATAACAGATATGAGACAGTGATAGACCATGGATTTTTGTGGAGCCACACCCTCGCTCATAGTTACAAATCATGTTCTAAGCACATTTTTGGGGTTCCATTTGAAACGTTGTGGGTTGTACGTTTTTGCGGTTTGTGTGTGTGTGCGTGCATGCCAAGGGCTCTAGTGATGTTGACCCCCTTATTCAAATTCCTAGGCTTAGCATTCAAAGTCTCCGATTTTTTTAAATAGTATAGAGAGTGTGCCTGCAATACAGTGATTTATATGTTTTTGAAAAGCAACATGTCACTGATTTTATTACTTGTATGTATTGCTAGTGTTATTTGCATTATTATTTTCTACTATTAGTGCTGTGCATTTTGTGACTCATGAAAGATGATACCGGAAGCGAAGAGGTTTCTTGCATCACGGTGGAATTTCTACTAGAACCACATGCTGGCATATGGCTAATTTTCCTGGCGGTTTGAAGTTACATCAACCCAAGAACAATTAGCAATCTGTGGGTTCTATTCTTGTTGAAGCCCTTTCCAAGTTGCCAGTTGGCGATACACCTTACCCGTTAGTCCCCTCCATCCGCAGCTTCCAAGCGCTCGTCCTACGTCAAAGCGTCCTCCATAGTGTCACACCATGGGTTGCGGTGCCTCCGCGAAACCAGCAGAGCCGGCGGCGGCTGCGCCTGCTGCGGCCGCGGCGCCTGCCACTGCACCTGCTGCGGCCGCGGCGCCTGCAGAGCAGGCACCTGCAGAGCAGGCACCTGCAGAGCAGGCACCTGCAGCGCAGCAGGCTCCAGCACACAGGGCTAAAAGGGAACATTCACCATTGCATGACATGTGGAGACCTAGTTTCAATGCACATTTTTTTGGTGGGTGATTTCCCAGTTGTTGGCATTCTAATTCATGTTTGAAGTATAAATTGCCAATCCACTGCTTCCATCACTTCAGCTATTTATGGAGTCTAGGGGGGACAAGGGGGTTGGGGATGTAGGGGGCAAGTAGCTTATCATATAAGGTTTTTTAGGGCTTCTGTGTAAGGCTCTTATTGGAAGATTATTAAGATCTGATTAGAAACTTAATAGATGCTTCGCCTAGCTAAGTCTTCAGCCAAGGAGCCTGGGGCCAAGATATGGGAGAGTCTGCGGAGGGGAAGGGCCTGGGGAGGGTCTGGGAAGGTTTGGGGGAGGATCGGAGGGGGGATTTTGGGGAATTTTTGGGGGGATGGTAGGCAAATTAGCTTGGGAGCAGGCTTACCCAAGGCTTATCCTTTAAACCCTCTTAATAAGCCCTTATCAGTCTTCAACCAACCCTGAACAAATCTTGAATAAGGATCTCTTGTTTCATTCATGGTTGGACCAGGGAGTAAAGACAAGTTTGTCCCTGCCTTGGGGATATCGGATAAGCCCTTATTAGGCTCTTATATTATAAGCTTCTTTCCCCCCCTCCCCTTACCCCCCTAGAATCCATGAGCTATTGATTGGCCGTAACTCGTCCCCATGGATGGATAAGTCCCATCACTTCATCAACCATCAGAATTTGTTTGATACACGATGCGCCTTACATTTCATCTCTCCAAGCTAGCCCCTATTCACATCAGTTTTCACAAACCATACCAACGGCACGCAAGAAGAAGAAGAAAAAAAAGAAGAAGAAGAAAAAAAAGAAGGAGAAGAAAAAGAAGAAGGTAGCCCCCAATCCCCCATTCACTGTATGTGTGGGGAACAACGATTAAAAAAAAATGACACCATTAAACATAAGAGTTGAATTTCAGTTGAAATATGTTGAAATCAATATAGTGCAGTGTTTAGATTTGTTTTTAAACATATGTTCAAAATAATGTGATATCCTAATAGAAACAACCATCATTTGATGTTAAAAAGACGCATTTCCCAATGGTTTCAGTCCCACCATGGTTCCCCCAGCCGTTTCTCCCCGCCTCTAAGGCGCCTGAGAAAGCCGCCAGTGCTGTTCCAGCGGAGGCCGCCACCAATGCAGAGGCGGAGAAGGTCGAGAAGCCCAAGGGTATCGCCTCTCGGCTGGGAAAACATTCCCGGCATGGTAAGTTTCACGGGTAGACATAATTATATAATTGAAATCATATAATGATATAATTGTATAGTTATCCCCATTACATCCCCATAATAACCGATAATTGTATCCCAGTATTCCCAGTTGTATCATGTTACATCCGTAATATTTTTATATTATGATTGAACAACTTATTTTATTTAGTAGCTGGCTACCATAGGTGTCCTAAAATCCCACTGGTTGGTTGCTTAATGGAGGGTTCCCCCCCATTAACCTGTATTGGTAGATAACCAAACCGGCACCTTAATTTCCCAAGAAGGACAACTTGTTGGCCACTGCGATTTCTGTGGTATATACAACTGTTGGATTGGCCAATAAATATGGACAATTTGGAAAATATTTGTATTAACCATGATTATTGATCAGTTCCTGGCTTAGTGAGTGGGAGATATACATAAGCAAAAATATGGAACAACACTAACCATGAAACATTGGACATGAAATCGGCAAAAAAAAACGAATGAGATTGTATAGATGTATAGCAAATCAGCTGGTATAGAAATTGGAAATTAAGCAAAAACACTTGGATTAACGATGAGTAATCAATGACTAGCTCGATATCAAAGTGACCTTAGAGTTTTACCAGCGAACATGGATTATTCATCAATTAATCAGAATTAACCCACGGTCAAATGCCTATGGATCCAGTCAACCATCGGTGCTTTGGAAAAAAATACCAGCGAACATGGATCTTCATTAATTAACCAGAATCAACCCACGGTCAACTGTCATGGATCCAGTCAACCATTAGTGCTGTGGGACCCACAGATGTTCTTCTGTAAACTCCCTACGACGTGGGATGCCAAGATAGCTAAGCGGTTTTTAGCCACAATAACTAGGGTTTATGGGGATATATATATATATATATGTCAATATATCTATATGTATATGCAAATATCTACATGCATATATCAATATTTATATATGTATATATATATACATTTATACATGTATCTATAAATACATTGATATATATATATATATATATATACATACATATTTAAAT